TCAGGGCCTTAAAACGTTCCTCGTTCCCCAATTTTGATCCGATTTGATTTTTTTTTCAAAATGTTCGTGAGATTCCAAAGAACAAAGTTAAACTAACGTTTTGTGAACCATTCTATAGATCATGAAAAAATCGAAAAAACCCGAAGACAAGCAGAGGTTGAAGTCTATCCGACAGAAGCCATTTCATTGTTACTTTGTGTGTTATTACTTTCTTTCTTTTTTAATTTCTACCAATTTCATTGGTAGTATGCTTCCGAATGGATCCATAGCAATTCCATTAAAAAAATATGAAGTTTGGTGACCATGTCTGTATGTGAACATTTACAGCGCCACCTTTCTGATAGTTAATTTTTAGACATTTTTTATATACATTTATTTAGTCAACTCGCCCCAATTTTTATAATAAACATTCTATAAATAGATGAATGGATTATTTCGTTATGCCAATATGTTAGTAACATAAAATTCCAAGAAATTGTGATAAAAAATCCGATAACTAAAGAAAAAAACGGTAATTGACGTAATAGACGATTTTTCACAAAATGTTCCATCTCACGAACTACTGAACAAATTAATCTCAAATTCTATCGAGTTAAGTAGTTAAATAGTATCGATCACTACTCAAAATTTGAGATCGTTAAATAAAGTTCTAACCACATTATAGCCACATGAGTAAGCTGAACGCCTAAAAATAGAAAAATTGCAATATCTCGAAAATTTTCAATGAAACGGTACTTATATTTTAAATTCGCTATCGCATGATGAGCTGCCTCATTGCCAAGAGCATTCCTAGACAAGGGAATTCCCAAATACATATAAGTTTTTACCACCTCAAGTTCCTCACCTTTGTACAGTTTAAATCTGGTCGGAAGTTTTTTTATTCTACCAGACTTTTTGAAGACCATGATTTTTGTTTTACTAACGTTTACAGAGAGACCATTGAGATCAGAGTAATCAGCCAGGATTTTCAGAGCTCTTTCGAGCTTGATGAGGGAGTCAACTAAGATTGCTGTATCATCAGCATAGAGCAACATTAAAATATCATTCAAACCATCAATATTCAGTCCAGATAGGTTTCTTTCTCGAAAAAATTTCTCAAAATCCGAAATGTAAAGGATAAACAAGAGAGCACTCAGGGTTTCTCCCTGAAGTACTCCTTCCGTAACCGTGAACTTCTCGGAGACTTGGCCATTAGACTTGACCTGGATTTTGGCCTTCTCATAGAGGGCTTTGATTACTCTCATTAGCTTGGAGCTAATTTTTAAATCATTCAGCTTGGCCCAGAGCCTGACGTCGGGCACTGAATCAAAGGAACGCCTGAAGTCGACGAAAATCACAAAAGCTTCTCTTTTCGACAGTCGTAATTGCAATTGGATCGCCGAGATCAGAGTGAAAATTGTTTCAGTGCACCCCGACCAGCCCAAAAACCGAACTGAGATTGAGGTAGTAAATTCATTTTTTCAGACCAACTCTCTAGTCTTTCCTTCAAAATATATGTGAAAATTTTGGTTACATGGTTAACTAGGGCAATCCCTCGGTGGTTAATCGGATCAGTATGATCGCCTTTTTTAAAGATCATCGACATGTGAACTTCACCCCAGGAGTCAGGGCAGCACTCAGTTCTCAAGACAGAGTTGAATAAATTGAGAAGAAATAATTTCCCAGCGAAAGGTAATGCTTTGTAAAATTCGTTTACAACTAGATCAGGACCAGAGGCTTTATTGTACTTGAGTTTTTTCAAAATTGTATCTAATTCCTCCATAGTTATCAGTTTTTCTAGTTCAAATACTTGGTTTCGTGATGGTATGAAAATCGGGGTGACGACAAGAGAGAAAATATTTTTATAAAAATTATTCCACGATTCAATAGAGACCCCACAAGGGCGGGATTGAGTAGGATGCAGTCTCTTCAGAGTACTCCAAAAACCCTTTGAATTACAAGGATTATTTAGGGCTGAGGATCAGTTATTTTTGAAAGTTTTCTTTTTGTAGCAAATAAGAGATTTGAATTCTTTGCGGATTTGATAAAAGGCAGTTCGCAGCCGTTTACAGTATCTGTTTCTTTTATATTTAGAACATAAACGAGATACATCTTGTTTTTTAGCACGAATTTTAGGATCTTTCTTCCATTGTGGAGTGAGGTCCATGAGGCAGTGGGTCGAGATTTCGTAGATAAATTGAGAGACTGCAGTAGACCAGACCGAGAGGCAGCATCAATAATGGCGACTAGTATAGTGCTAAAAGGCCTGTATGGCCTCGGTGTCAACTCTTGGCCGACCTATGTCGCTCTTTATAACGCGTTAGTATCATCCACTCTTCTATATGCGATGCCTTCCTGGGGTCTTCACAACAATCAAGACCTTGAGAAGGCACAGACGAACTTCTTCAAGAGAACTCTCAACCTACCCAGGAGCACGCCTGGGTGGGCTCTGAGATTGGAAACCAATCTTCCCAAAGTAAAATTTAGAGTCATGAAAATGTCTTGGGATTGGCTATTGAAGATTCTGAAGTGTAACGACGCCTTTTTACCAAAGATTTGCATTCAGAGACTCCCCCATCTGAGTCAAAGCCCCTCTTGTGATGTATCCCTTAACTGGGTTTACCAAATTAGAAACCTACTTGAAATAACTGGTCACCTTGATCTCATGAATAGTTTTGATTTCACCTCTCTAGATGCGAAAACTGTAGATATTTTTAAAAAATACGAATGTATCCTCAAATGCGAAGATCTTGAAAGATGGAAACTCTCCACCTCCTGCCAAATCACCCCTGACTTTTCTCTTTCTACTGATTGGAGATCCACTTATTTGCAAGCTGACCATAATTTACATGTAAAACAACTGATTGCTCAGGTTGGACTAGCCAATATTTACAATTGTTATTTTTATATTGATAAGGCTAAAGTAAGATTTAAACCAAATTCTATCTGTATATACTGCGACCTTGATGAAAATGACTCTATCGAACATTTCTGCCTCAGATGCAAAGCTACTTTCAAACGTAGATCTTCCTTTTTTATAAATTCTATACAATTCCTGAATTGCTCATGAAACGACATTATCTTTAAAGCGAATTTCAATGAAATAAAAGGTATCTATAAGTTTCTGCTTAGTTGTCTGTCCTTCAGACGTCAATTGGATCTACAAGATGTTTCCTTACGATCGACTCAAAAATCCATAAGTTTCTGCGTATAGTTATAAGTTTGGCAGAGTTTCCTGCGGTCCTCCCCCGCGCTTGCTGTTTTAATCTTTAATCTCTTTTTCATTTCTTTTCTTATTATTTGTACTTTGAGCTACCAAATTATCCTTTTGATTTTGATTATATATATATTTATATCAATACACATATATTCACGCACATGGACAAGTACCATCAAAATGCATAATTTTTGTACTCTTCTACTCCCCCGCTGCGATGGGGCTATGTATCCTACAAGCAGTTAATAAATAATAATAATAATAATATATTTTAATTTGGTCAGATAGCCAGCATTATAATGAATATTTTGAAAAAAAAATTGAATTCGGCTGAGTGGTTTTTGAGATATTAAAGAAAAAAGTTTCACATACAAAGTTGAATATCTCCGTAACTACTTGTTCGATTTCGCCCATTCAAAATACCAAACTTTGTTACGATCAGACCTACACTCGTACAAAGTTTGAAGTTTCTATCTCAATTATTTTTTAAGTTATTGTGGTAACAAGCGATTTCGTAAAAAAAATGAAAAAATGAAAATAAAACTCAATTTTCCGTAGCGGGGTGATTGAACTTCTGTGCAGTAAGATAGATCTCATCTTGACACATATTTTGAAAAAAAGAAAAGAAATTGGTCAAGCCGTTCCTGAGATATTTGCGAAAAACGATTTTTGAGAAATCGCTATATCTCAAGATCTACTCAACCGATCAAGCTGAGATTTAGCACAGATTTGTGTCTGGTTGGTATTAACTATGAGCCAAAATTTCAAGTTTTTTTAAATTACGGTTTTGGAGTTATTGACACATTTCTGGACAAACGCACACACATACATACAGATATCGTCTAAAAACATCATATCTCGACGTTTCAGACCACTCTGAGTTATATCCCAGCAAAATTTGAGAATCGAAAAACATTGCATTTTTAAAGCTTCCATTCGGAATCAAAAACGAGAAAAAAAGGAAAAAAGGGGGTTTTCCGTCTGATCGTCAACTATTCAAAATAACGACTTTTCAGGCATAATGCAAAGACAATCAGAAGGGAAAACCCTTTTTTCGGTTTTTTCGTTTTTTTTTTTCGATTTTCTCATGACGTATATAATGGATCGTAAAACGGAAACTAAACTTTGTTCTTTGGCGTCTCACGAACATTTTGAAAAAAAAATCAAATCAGATCAAAATTGTGGAATGAAGAATGTTTTAAAGGTAGAAACATGAAAAGCGACGTTTTCCGTGGAAGTACGGGGCAAAACCGATTGGGTCCGGGATTTTTCCCACTTTAACATATCCCATCATATAACTAAAGTCGCTCAATAAGTCCCTAGATCCACCGAAGACTTTCCCATTTCACCGCCCCCCCCCCTCAATAAAGGGTATAGAACCCCCTTAATAAGGGCTATAAAGGGTTATTAGCAGCATGAGATTCACAACCTGGAATTCAAGCCGCAACTAGGACTTTCACACCAATTTTTCATCATAATTTTCCACATGATGATCATCTTAAAATTTCACACAATTTTTAAAATGAATATTCCATAGAATTTTTATCTGAGAAATATAATAAATCAAAGTTTCCATCTATGCTAATTACACTGTTCTCTCGAGAACAATTGATTATTGAAAAGCTGTTAATGAGATTTCCTGCGGCTGAGGAAATTGTTTGTAAAAGAATTCTCATCACATTCGCTCTCAGTATCATTCATTCTTACAATTATTTTTATACATGGTAAAATGAGATGAGTCAATCCATCACGTTTCATACATAATCATCAGTCCTATACATAATTTATTCCATTTTTTTTTCAGAGACTTATGCATCTAGTCCTTTTTCCAAGTATAAGGGTCCACCATCTCCAAGGACATTGAATGTTACTCCAAATACATCTTTTAATAAATCTTTAAACATTTCCATCAATGGTAGTCTCACTGGAGAAGGGATTATTCAAGATGAAACAGAGTTGCGAAATTATTTGAAAGATATTTCTGAGCGAGAGAGAAAAACCACTCTCTCCACTAGTGTGGACCAGCCCTCGAATCTTTTAAGCAGTTTCTGGTCGCATCCTGCTACAAGAAATCCTGGGGAAGTGTCACCAATGCTGAGGAGATGCGCTTACCAATTAGCTCCAACAATTGGTGAATATTTGTTTATAAGCTCAACTTTACCTTTCCATAGACTGGATTCTTTTGCGGGAAATAATTCTTGTAGAAAATACCCAGGAATTTGTTCTGTAGCTGGACAAATTTCCTGCGAAAAATGTCTCTTTGCAGGGCACGATCTAAGTAATTAAATAAAGCAGGGACTTGGAACGTGTTCCAGGTTCGACTTCATTCCAGGGCAAGAAACGAAACGAAATTAACGTTCCTAGCTAGGAACGAAGCTCGGAATAAAAGTCGTGAAACATTGCGTGTAGACCCAGTCAGCCACGTTGTCGACAAGTTGCTGGTAACTAGTTACAGTTGTGTTGTTGACAGTTACCGATGTCCCCCATTCAAAAAGCATAGGAGTTACTCATGGTTGTCGGCAACTCCAGGGATACCTGAACGGTATTTATTGGGGTCTCAAGCACAGCAGGGGACAATAGTCCAATTAAGAGGGTTAAGCAAGGGAGGGCGTAAACTCAACCGGCCGATGGCGTGTCAATCAGTGGCTATTTTGGGCGCGGAGGATGATGTAGTATAAATAATTTTTCTACATTTATAAATTTTTACCAAATGTTGTCAACACCCAAAGCAATATGCATTTAATATCAGTATATGAATGGTTCAGCCGAGTATTGAAACGAATATATACCTTGAAAATTAGAATTTTTCTTAGCGCCTTTTACACAATTTTTTCAACATCGCAAAGATCGAGCAAAAAATGTTTTCAGTCTACAATAGGTCTTTTCGAGAAAATCTTCAATTGTCTATTTCATGAAAAATACCGAAAAATCAGAACTCCATCCCTTTCCATCCGTATCCAATTTTTACCGTCATTTTCTTCTGTAATGTCCAAAATTTTATACTAGAAATTTAAGGCTAGAATAATTTATGTAAAATAATCAAGAAACAAATCGACGATTGTAAACTAAATAAAGTGCATTTTATCACGTGAACTCGATTAAAAATTCCAAAGACATTGGAATCGAGTTCAAAAGTGATGAAATGGCCCACTCAGCAGGCCCCAATTACTCAATACCAAGATTCGCGCACGGGGGAACGATTGAAAACCGATGAATTGAAACCCCAAAAACCAAATGAACTACTTCCCCATAAAAATCGAAAGAGTGGGAAAAGTCATACTGTAGGATTTGCGATGGTCGGGAGTAACAAGTCACTACTAAACGAATAAACAATTTAATAATATATTTATTCGCCGAAGCGTCAGTCTCAACAAGTAAAATGAATATTGATTTGATGTTCAGTTGCGCTCGATACAACGGATGCCGATCAACTGCCCACGGCTCCTGTGCGATAGGACGCCGTGATAGAATAATTCGGAAGAGACGCGAAATGTAATCCTCTATTATTGTGTTTGTGTATCCGTGAGAGGAAAGCAACGAAATACTAAATTCACCAATTAAAAATGGACTCGTTGGAGCCCATGTGACAAGTGACCCCAAAATTCATATAAAAATGTCTGTGTTAAATGTGGCGCCCTATGCCAGTCTCCTTATTACCAACAGTGTGGCTGACTGTGTCGCCACGGCGCCGTTGCGCCTCTATGAGATATACTCGTACTATGTATCACTTGTGCCTCAACCGTTGTCGCATTACGTTGCTGAATAAAGCTTAATTACTTTTACGATAATACAACTGTGTTTAATCGTTATTTCAATCCTAAATAACCCTTCAGGTTATGGGCCTAGCACGCTTCCACTGTGCGTGATTAAAATTTATCATAAATTAAAGGATTGAAAGCGATAAATCGGAAATTCCAAAAAGGACGCTATCGGGCGGTTGGGCACGTGTCCGGGTGGATCACACGTGATATAAAAAGATATCCAGAAAGAGGAAAAATCGAGGCGAGCTGGGTGAGTGACGACTGATGGGAAGTAAAATGAAAAGTACTCAGAGAAAATGTAAGTACTGAAAAATGCATTAATTGAGTGAAGTGAATTGGTGAGAACGGAAAATAGAAGGGATCAAAATGAATTATCCACGACGCCGATCTGAAATCGAGATTTTAGATTGAAAAGAATTAATAAAGAAATCCCATTAAATTCACAAAAAAATCACTGAAAAGCAAGAAATATCATTTGTCATAGATAAAATCATATTTAGAGAAAAATAAAAGAAGAAAGCCAAGTGACGCCGTGACAATAGTTTCTCGGCAGTGAAGGCGAGCACGGGTTTGAACAGGCTTCAACAAGTAGACGCAACGGGTGGGTTACGCGCGCAACCGGGGCGCGTCTGAGAGAGAGGGACGACTGCAGTCCCACACACATTGCTCGAGCAAGGCGAGAATAATAAGAAATAGAAAGAAAAACGAAAATCAGTGTGAATATAAAAATTGGTGTGAAAAACAACGATTCTCTCTTTCTAGGCCGCGTTCCGCGTATGTGCGGGGTCCACCAGCGTAATGTAAAGCACTAAAATAAAATCAATAGACACTAGTGCAAAATTGAAATTTGCAAATTAAGGATGCATCCAAATCGAAATATTTAATTGCNAGGATGCATCCAAATCAAAATATTTAATTGCTGAGAATATTGAATTTAGAAATATTTAATAGGCGAGAATAACAAATTAAATATTTGATGGGTCGAACTAATGAAATTGAATTCTAAAAGTGTTATCTTCAGACGAAGATATTTATAAATAAATAATTACAGCTGATAAAGAACTTGTGTATCAAGTGTGGAGACTCATAATTAGACAACATCTAATGGAAGGAAACCATGAGGGAGAAGTGATCTCCCTGGCAATAATAGACGATAAAGTTTATGTTCTTCCAGACGAAGGAACAGGATATGTAACAGGTGAGACATCAGGCATATGTGTAAATAGGCGAGCACATTAGAAACGCGCAATATTAAGACGCCAAATTGCTTGAGAAATTTAAATAAATTTCTCGCAATCATAAAAGACTTGAGTGTGTTTGGAGGAGGTCTTATGTTTAGATTTTCTGAAGAGCACATTCATTCTGAATTCGGTTTGTGTATGTTTAGCAAGTCGAGTTTGGGATTTCGGACCTGAATATAAAAATTGTAACCAGATACAATAATCCTAAATTTTCTTTTGGTCTCTTTAAAATTAGATAGGAGAGATTTCTCAGAGGATCAATGGATATGTCTGACTGTGTTAGAATCTGCATTGTTGGCTGAAGAAAAGCCAATGTATCTACCAGGTTACCGTCCGAAGAGTCAAAAGTCAACAACAGCTGTAATCGAGAATGGGTCAAGAAACATGAACAAAGATTTGGGAAATACACAGGCGAGGGCCACAGGCGAGTCCAGGTCAAGCGAATTGGCTGGAGGCGAGACGAATGGCGGCGAGATAAGTGCAGGCGAGAAAACAAGCGAGAAAACCACAGGTTATACTAATGTTGACAAAACTGACCAAATCAAACCGAAACCCAAGATTACAGCAGATAATACAGTAAATATTAAATTGAAATTGGTAAATTCTAATTTAGACGATGAATCAGTTGAGCCTAATGGCAACAAGACTGTCAAAACAATCTCTGTAGACACACAGTTGGTTGAGTTGAAGAGCATGATGGAAAAGCAATGTAGCTCAAATATAACTTCAACAAAAGCACTGTATGAAGGTCTAACAGAGAATAGAAACCAAGTGAGACTGAATGCTGAGGTGAGAGCACAAGATAAAAAAGACGTACTGGAGCTGTTGAGTGCCCTGGACAAAAAGCACAACGACAAAATTGGAGAAGTAATAAGAACCTTCGATAATTATCGCAATACTGTCGAGTGATCAATCAAGGTAAGAAAAAACAAAGAGAAAAGAATAGATGGAGGAGTGATGTCAAATGAGCATATAAATCTAGAAAGTCAAATTAATTCAATAGTCCATAAACAGATCAATGAAATTAATCAGACAAAGTCAAGTCAAGTAAACAACCTAAATCCTTTGAGTCAATTAGCTGGCGAGGTAACACATAAGTTACAAATTGAATTGCTTAACAAGGGAATGAGTTTCAAAAGAGATTACAAAATGGACAGCAAAATGAAATATGAACATTTGTATGATTATTTCTCGTCACAAATTAAAACAAATAAACTTTTACACATCATTGACGATAGCATTCTCGTTACTGTGGACGAGGAAACTCTTGCAGAACAGAAGGACAAAGTTAGAGAAATTCTAATCAATCGTTTGGACAGAAGTTATCACCCTAAAATTGTCAAATTACAAGATCCAAAAGAAATATTGAAGAAACTTAAAGAATTGAAAATGGCTGAGTTTAATGTAACTGCACACTCGGTGAGACAAGACCTTTATAATATGAGATATAATCCTGCTAAAATGACAGCTGGCGAGTTTAACGATATGTTTGATGAAAAAATTGCAACTTATGAAAATGCTCCCGACACCATTCCTCTGAGTGAAAGCGAAAAGAAAGATGCATTCTACAATGCAGTAATAAAAGCTTTTCCCAACATTAAAATCATTGAAAAAGTAACAAGGAAAGCTATAGGTGTGGGCTTGACTTTTGGCGAGTTGAAAATTGCGATATTAGAAGAAGAAGCTACTATGAAAAATGAGCTCTCTGATTCTGATATTAAAACTGCTAATTTTGCCCAGCACAAGGGGCCAAGGTGTTTTGCTTGTCAGGCATATGGACACAAGGGACCAGACTTTCCCAATAAAGGGAAAGGATACTTGTGCTACAAGTGCAACCAGTTTCGGAATTACAAGGCGAGAGATTGCCCAAACAGAACTCACAATGACAATGCACCAAGTGGTTCAGGATACTCTAAGCAGACTCCAAGGTACAATTCCAATTCAAAAATTAATTATAGAAACAATTATCGAGATCAATATAGAAGTAACGATAAAGGAACGAAAAGACCAATGAGAGGAAAAACATATGGTCCAAGTAAAAGAGAAAGATTCAATAAGAGTCGGTTCTCTTATAAAAGAGGCGAGAACAAACACGGGTTTAACTCATCTCACTAATCAAACAAGAAATC